ACTGCTGCGTATTTATACATGTGCAACTTATGTACTACTTTTCTTCTTCTTCCTATTATAATCTGATGAGTACAGATATATTCTACCGATACAGGCGTTCTTTTCTTCTCTTTCCTGTTTTTTCTATCAACTCTTTCTTCTTGTCAACACCTGGTGCCGCTTAGAAATAGGAAGACATTTTCTTCCATTACAACATTAATACCTTTTTCCTCGATTAGAACGATGCAACAATCATTCGATTTCCGATATTTATTTTTCTTAAAGAAAAAACTCATCTAAGATTTCGTTTACTTTATAATTGAATGATAATGAGATAGTCGATGTACACACACATATATATACGTCCGAGAGAGAACATCTCAAGATACATCGAAGAAGCACATATACTGATGGTGTTGCCATTTACAGAAGGAGAAAAGATAAACAAATGTACCTCGTCTTTTCTTTCGCATACGAACGATAAGGGAACTATATACCTTCTATATAGCTTCCAGGCGCATCATGATGGAATGACAATTTGTCGATAATCAGCTGGAACACACTTATCATACAGGTGTGAACAGGCTCCAGCAATAAGGAAAGGTGAAAGTTGAATAATAATAATATTTCATTCGAGATATATCGAATTAGTTCTATTATTTGTATACGTACATACTATTGCATTTGACTTGTTCGTTTTTTTTTATATGACAAAAACCTTCATTTACCTTGTGCTACACGGCATCATCATCATCGCAACCTGTTGTGCTACTATTTTGTGTCCCCATTTTTTTTCTTGTTTCATACTCGATAGGTGTGTGCAACAGCTTGTTAGAACCTCTATAATTTATTTTTTTTTCTTTTCTAAAATTCCGGTGCAAAAAAAAAAAGAATCATTTGATTGTATATCTATTTTGTCTACGTGGCTGGTTAAAATCATAAAAATCAAACGAGCTATTATCAGGGTAACGCATCTTTAATGTGAATCTACTTATATGATCTATTCTATAGAATCAGACAGAACACCTCATTGTTATTTTTTGATGGTGAACAGAATACAATAAAATTTGATTACAATTAACGATTATAGCATAATACAAAGACTTTACTTGTAATCATTCAAAAGTTATTTCTGTTAAATTTCTTGAACATTTGATAAGTTTATATTTCTTTTTTCTGAATGATCAATAAGATTCATTATTAAACTACCTTTTTTTTTTTGTCTTTTCATAACATACAGTTATCAATTAAGCTATAGTAGACACCATGGGTAATAGGTGATGTCTAGAACAATTATTATTATGTCTTGTTAAATGGCATACAATAGCTAGTTAATTATCTATATAGAGTCAGTTGATGCAATACTAATTGGACGACGAGCAAGAAGGGGGTAAAACCCTCAATTCACCTGTTGTTATGTTCTGTAATAAAATTGTTCATCAATATTCATCTGATAATACTAGATTATATATTAATATAATTTAAATATCATATCAATTGATTATTTCTGATTATATTTGATGAATATCAATGTTCATATCTATTAATGTCATAATAGTCATTGTCTCGTAATAATGTTGATAAGAGTTACTTGTTCATTATCAAATTATCACCATATATTCATTTTCAAATTGTGTTATTTACATATATATGACAAGAGAAAGAAGTACAAATTTAAAACAATACTTAGATATATATTTTTCTTAAAAATTTCCAATTAGATTTGCATATAAATATCAATATATATTGAGATATATTTTTTTCTTTTTTTCTTTTTTTTTTTCGTGAATAAAGATATACAAGAAGTAAAAATTCAACAAGAACATAATCACTGCCAATGAAAACCACCAGCACCAAATGGTACCTCGTTACCAACATTTGGACGTGTATCATTTTCATCACGTTGACGTCTAGTTTCATCAAATAACCAATGTCTATTGAACAGAAAAAAAAAAATTTCTATAATTTCATTATCAAACAAACAAAACAAAACAAAAAGACATACAAAAATCTTGGTGTTCTTAATATTTTAAAACCACCTTGTTCACGTGGAAATATATCTTCAAGAAAATAATAAATATGACCAACAATAATTCCCATTAAATCAACAATAATTGAATTTCCCAGTAAAAGTGAAAAAGCAAATAATACCCATGGTAGATAAGGTGCTTGAAAATTTAATAAACCAAAGAAATTCATTCTAACAAATGGGTTTCGTCGACTCCAAACATAAACTAACATAATTGTTAATGCTGAACCAAGAAAAACAATATTAACAAATAATGCCATTATTATCATTAATGTACCACCAAATATAAACATATAAAGAAAATCAGCAGCACGTCCACGAAATGAACCTTCTTCAAGATGACGACAATAACGATAAGTAAAGAGTAAATTAAAGAAAAAATTAAAACCAATACCACCATAAAAACAAAAACAAGTTATTAATCTCCATAACTATAAGAGAAGAAAGAAAGACAAAAAGCGAATTATCTTATTTCTATATAAATAAATTGATAATTTTTATTTACTTGGAATTTTTTAAAGATCAATTCAGGATTAAAATAAAGTTGATAAGCAGTAACAAATTCAAGTTGCTAGAAAATAATATATATATATATATACATCAATATAGATTTCATCGAACACTAAAAACGTTATACGAAAAATAAAATTTTACATTCATAAGGTGGTAGAATCCTTAGTCTTGGAGAAGAAGTTCAGATATTTTTGAAAAAATTTTACTGATCTCATCTTGAAGTTATATTTGGTAAGTGAAAATTCTTTGAACAAGAGTTGTCTTACATTTTTCTGAACGTTGCGCTCAGTCAGACATTTACATATGGCTATATTTTTTTCAAGGGAGAAACAGCGAAGACTTCAGTCTTGAAGTCTTACAAGTTATTCTTAATCCCATTAAGTCTGACGAAATCTTTAGGTTAGATACATGAGGAATGGCTCATTACAGACCGTGATAAACATTATTGATATACGATTACAGACTTTATATCAATAACAGCTCGTTACAATATATGAACTACTTCCTTCTTATATTTCTGAAGGATAAAATAAATGGATGGTGAAGAAATGTGTCCTAAAATAGATAGAATAAAACGATTCCCCTGTGATTAGTAATAGTAGTTACGCCGTTTGTTATATTTTAATCCCATAGAGATTGTGCTAACAGCTTTTAATATATGTTGAAATTTCATAAAGTCTCTCAAAATTTTCTGAAATCTGCTGTTTTCCTTTCAATTTTTTTGAAACATCTTGGCCCATAAGTGGCAGAGTTCTTGGGGTTGAAAAATTTGAACTCAGTCTATGGTTTTTGAAAGTCAATTTCCGATAGCATAACAAAAAACTAAATAAATCATTTTTTTTTTGTCATGAAAAAGTAAAAATTTGAATGTCTTCATAGTGGAAAATTCCTATTATATATTCTGAGGCAGGTCTGCGGTTATGTTGAACAGCAGCACAATGGATGAGTATAATTCAGTAATTCACTAGCGAATCTGGGATTTTGAAAGGGTAAGAGGATGATTATAGACAGAATACACTTTCTAGGCTAATCCAAGGTAGCATAAACCCGTTTTTCGTTCATTTTTGCTTGGAGAAATCGAGAAAATTTCTTGAAGACGGAAGTCTGTCTGTCCGCTTCCTAATTCTACCACTGTCCTAAATGTTTCGTAGGGAAAGCTAAAGGATTAATTAAGTTTCATTTTTATTATCTAAAGATTGATTCACAGGTAGACGTTACAATAAAACAGTTATATACACTTCTTTCTAAATGAAAATTCTATAGAAAAATTCATTAATTTTTAATTCGAATAGTTTACTCAATCATAGTTCAGCTATTGATATTTATGACTACTTCGTCAATCCAATTCGTTCATCTGAAAAAATACTATCTTCTCAGTATATTAGTTTCTATATGAATGATTGAGAAATTAATAAAAAACAAAATGATAATATGAGTATTTCATATGAAAAAAAAATCGTCTACTTACTACTGCAATTGTTGTCAAAAGACATGTTGTCGTGTATGCTCGTGTTATAGGTGGAATGGCAAGATAATCTTGTTGGAAGGCCATGATATAACAGATCAAGATTTTAATTATGAATCATTATTATACTAGAAGGTGAAGAAATTATTTTCTAAAATAAATATAAAATAATAACAGACAATAAGTTGTATTATAATTGTTTGTTTCTGACTATGCAATGAAAAGTTCGAAGAAATGTTTGAAAATATTCTTTTTTTTTCCAATGTTATTCAAGTGTACAGAAAATAATATATCAAGAAAAATTCTTTTTTCATTAGGTACCCCTTTTTTTCTAAATAATATTCCAACAAAATTATTCTCGAAAAAACAAAAGTCTAAATATTATTTTATTTTTTAAAGAAACAAAGTTGCACAAATTTATTATGTTTAAATGATGATAAGAAATGCAAGATATAAATGAAAGGAAAAGAAATATATGTACGTATTGCGATTAACTGATAGACAAAAAAAGAAAGAGAATAGAAAGGGGGGCGGATACACATACGATCACAAAAATCACTAACGAAAAAACAAATCTTGACAACGGAACGTTTTTTTTTTCTTCAGCCTATTAATATATATTTTTTTTTCGACACTAACAACATACAAAAAAAAAATCAAAATAAAACGAATGCTCGTAAAATGATAAGCCAATTCTATTTTGTGACCACGAAAAATCACAGGTTATATAAATAAATGGTTCTCCTAAAGGTATATTTGGTTCGGTTCTTTTCTTTTTTTTTTTTTTTGCCTAAAAAGATATATAAATTGAATGAATAGTATGTATGACAACATCAATATAAATAAAAAAAAAAGAAGAAAGGAATGCGACTATATCATTGTAATAAATATTGAGAAAAGAAAAAGAAAGAACACACTGACAAACGAATAAACATTTACAAATGATGACAATAACAGATAGACAATATTATTTGTTCGTCGGAAATTCTTATTTTGATTTGTATTATTTCTCGTTTAATATCCTGAATAACCTGGTGCACCACCATATTGTGGATAAGCACCAGTACCAAAACCTGGTTGTGGAAAACCACTCATGCCAGGTCCTGTAATCATTAATGTACCTTGTGCTAAAAAACAAAAAAAAAGAAAAAGAGTTCTTAATTTAATTATTTATTCTTCTAGGTTTTTTTTTTCTATGTACAATTAAAATCAATTGGTTTTTGTTCATTAGCTGTTTCATTTTCTGTACGAAGTTGATCAGATTGTTCAAGTTTATCAACCTAATATTAAGTAAATTTTATAATAAAAACAAAAAAAAAAGAATTTTCAAAAATTTAAATTTCATATTACTTTTGTAGTATATTCGCGCATTATTTGAATCATATAAGGCATTGCAAAACTCATTATATCATGACGCCATGCAAGTTCAAGAATAACATCAGGACGTAAAAGATCGTAACATTGAAATAAACATGCACCAAAACATTCAAATAATTTTTCATCAAGAAACCAAGATATTAATTCTTCAGCTATGTCAATTTGTCGTGATTCTGATGCATAAGTCATTGAATCCTAAAAAAATAAATTGTTTATTTTCATATAAGAAAAATATAAGTATTAATTGAATTAGAAAATTTAATGAAAAAAATTTTCAACAATGAATAATCGAATATAAGACGAAAAATTTTCAGAAATTCGTTAAGAAAAAACGAGCAATGTCAAAGTTTCAATGTCAATTAGAGTCATAATTATGTTAATCGAATTTATTAGCAAATGTTGTTCAGTTATGACTTTTATTCTTTGATATATGTCGTGCAAGTTATTGCAATTTTTGATGTATTCATACACAAATAAGACACAATCAACTATGACTTGAATAAAAATCTTAAGGGCATTATCTTTTATTTATAGAAAATATTAATGAATAAATTTTTGAAGTTCTTATACTAAATTTATTTTATCACAAAAAAAGACTAGCTCAATTTATATCGATAGATTCTTGATGAATAATATGTTTTGTTCGATTGTTATTTCATCCTCTGTATAAAAGACTAATCCAATAAAAATAGTTAAAAAGATGTATTACAAGACTAAGAATTTTTGCAGAAGTGTTTTTTTCAAAACTGAAAAAGTTTTTATATTAGATAAAATCTAACGTTGTTCATAGACAACTCTTGAAGTCATTAGAAATTCCTACAAATTTCAATCAAAAAGAATGATCTCTTCTTGAGAAGATACAACTCCTTCTGACTAATATTTTTAGGAGATTCTTGTAACTTCAAGAGCTGTCTATGAGCAAAATTCATTTGTTCAGGTTTTTTTATAAGTATCATACCAAAGGTAAAAATTTGATTTCATACATCTTTAAAAGTATCCTTTTATATGGATGCGTTACTACGACTTTCTATCTTTGTAAAATCGTCATAGTTCAACCAAATGAAATGTAAAATTTTAGTTAAACTAGAACCTTTATATATCGTGCTGCAGTATAAGTTTCAGCTCTTGGTTATATTAAGTTGCTAGGTTATAACAATATGAAAATGAAAAATGGATGAATGTGTTACCTGTAAACAAACTGTAGAAATTCTAAATATATTAAAGTAGACGAATTTTTTATATTATTTAGACTCAAATTTCAAGTTATAGGATTTTTCATTTCGAAAAAAAATAAAATAAAATTTAGTTTTATATATTTTGTATTCTACCTTATATAATCGATCTTTTTTGCATAATTCTACAGCTTGTTTCCATCGATTATTTCCTCTATAAAGATAAGCAGCAATTCGTCGAAATTCAATTAATTCATGTTTTTCAAGACGTTGTGCTAATGATATATTATCAAAATTATCATATGCATCAATTGAACTTCTTAAACCTTGATAATCTTCTTCTTCAATTAATAAATTATTAAGTGCTTCATTAATAGCTTTATTATTTATATTTTGTACTGAACGTAAATATGGTTTAACTAATGGAAGTTGTTTAACTAAAATATAGAAGAAAAAAAAAAGAATGATAAGTATATCTGTCTCAATCCATGATTATTTT